GGACCGAGCCGCCCGGCTCGCTGCTCCCGCCGGCGGAGCGAGGCTGCCCTTTCTCCGCAGTGTGATTGATTTTCTGCTTCTTTTCTTCTAAACTCTTCTTCCAGGGAGAGGCTAGTGGTAACAGGCCGAGCTGGATGGATGGGTATGGGGAGAGGGGCAGGACGATCAGCCCTGGGATTCTGGCCGACTCTCGCAGTCCTTCTCTGCAGCTTCCCAGCAGGTAAGGCGCCGCCCCGGGAGCGGGGACAGCCGGCCGCCCGGGCCTCCTCGCAGCCCCGGGCCATGTCGTGGAGCGAGTCGGAGCTGAAGATCGTGGGTGACCTCCACCCCCACCCCGGGGATCCCGCCTCCCTTTTCCACGGGTCTTTGTGTCTACCGCGCCCCGCCGAAGGCGCAGCGGATGCCCGCGGGAACCCGAGGGTGGGGGAACCGGGCTCGGCCTGCACTGAGAAGGAGCGGGGCGGGGAGGTCGCAGGGGTCGGGGATGCCTCCCTCCTTCCGCGAAAGGGGGATCCTGGGACGCGTCATTCAGGGGCCCCGGAGGAGGGGGAGCAGAGGAGGCACGGACTTGGAGCAGGGGGCACTTTCCGCGGCTCCTCGCCCACCACTTTGGAAACCTGTTCGGTGCCCAGGGGTGGAGCAGGGGGCGCCCCCAAGGTCCCAGCCCAGTCACTGACTCCCCCTCCTGCGGGACCCCGTCCCGGCCCCACGCGGGGAGCCGGCGAACTCGGCTCAAACCAGCCCGTATTCCTGTTTGATAACATCCCACGTCGCCCCCTGTTTGTTTTTATTGTGTCAGAAAGGGAGAGAATTTCAGAATTAAAGCTGAAAAAGCCCATCTGTTTCCAATGAATCCCCCATAGTTTTTCACAATGTTTTTGGCAGATTGCTGCTTTCAAATTCCTCGGAGCCCGGACCTCTTGTTTTTGTTGGGGGAAGGGAGACCAACTCCACAGAGAAGCATTTGTTCCTTCCCAAACGCTCCAATTTCTTGACTTTTTTTTTTCCTTTCGGGGGGGAGGGGGAAAGCACGAAACTTAAATCCCCGCTCTGTTTTCTTTATAATGTTTCATAAAACTTTATTTCATTTTTGCCATATGCTACTCACAGCCGGGAAACGCTTGTTAAACCCTTCATACCCATTTTTCTCTTGCTAAAAGTACAAATAAAATCCAGTGTCATGGGCCGAAGGGGCCCCGTTGCAAGGCGGGATCTCCCGGCCGTTGCCATTGTGTTGCAGGCTTGGAGGTGTCTTCTTGCAAAAAAATGCGAGTTTGTTTCGCTCCGCAGCCCAGCGCGGATGCGCAACTCCTGCGCACCACCGAGTTTTGCAAGAAAGGACTTGAGTTAGACTGGGATTGGGTTGTTTTGTTTTGCTCCTCAGCCAACTAGGTTTCAGGAACTGGCAGAACTGGGCCGGCCAGGCTGCAAGTTGGGGCTCCCGACGGGCGGACCATGCAGGCCGCGGTAAAGGGGCAGGGATCAGTTTACCTTCTCGCCCCAGCCCTGATCCCGGGCCCCGGCGCCTGCCGGGTCCAGCGCGTCCAGTTCACTCAGCAGCTGTGTCCCCAAGGGCTCCCTGAAGAGCCGCAACCTGCTCTCACCCCTGGATTCCACTGGGGAGGCCCCAGCCAAGGACAAGATGGGGGGTTGTCAGTCCCGGCAAAGACCCTTGGACCTTTTTTGCCCTAGCCCCGGAATATTAAAACCTCCACAGTGGGTCAGACAGCAGGGGTTCCTACTCCCCCTCACACCCCTTTTTAAAAGGCAGTTTCTCCACCTACTGGAGGGCCTGGCTGAAAGGCTGATTTGGTTCCCTCCCAAAAACTGAAAAATACAATCAAAAAGGACCCTTTTCTTGAAAAAGAAATTCTCCTTTGGGGGAAGCGGGAGTTTGCCATGTGTGCACATCTCCGTTTGACCTAGATAAAGATCCAGCCCATTGGAAGTTTTATCAGATGGGTTGATAAATGGCTTTTGTCCCCTGGCTGCAGTGGGGGATGTGATCTCAGCTCTGAGCTGAAATTGAGAAGGGGGGCTTTGAGGCCCTTAAAACAACACCTTCCCGCTCTTAAAGTGGCAGCACTTGTTAACTTCTTGGGCTAGAGAGGGAGGAAAGGAAGGGCTGACAGAGGGACTCAGAGGCCGAGGGAGCTGCCAGGGCTGCTGGTGGTGTTTTTGTTGGTTTTTTAATTTTATTTCTCCACCTTTAAAACTTTATTTTAAAATATCCTTCACAGTCTGAGGAAACGGGTGGGTTATGTAATTCACAACCCAAATTCCATCACTTTTATTTCCAAGAAGCCCATTTCTTTTTTGGCGTCGAGGCTGGTAACTAAAACCTGGCAGATAGGACAGATAGCTGCCACACTGTCACGCCAACTGGCTAATGTTCTAATTTGAGGCACTGACAGCTGCTTTTAGTCAAAATTGCCCACCTTACTGAAAACTGAGCTTTCGGTATCCCCAGACTCGATATCCTGCAGGCTCCGAAAACTTGTATGCTCAAGAAACCTGGGTGAAAAGACCATTTTTTAAGGAAGAGATGAAATGGCCACAACAAGGAGATAGACTGTGATGCACTGGCAGAGGCTGCCTTGGGGTAAAGTTAGAGAACCTGCAGGTCTCGGGGAGAGCAGGGTGGGTGTCAGAGAAAAAGGAAAGCTCTGGCAAGTGTGAGACACAGGGATAGCCAGGCACTCCGTGTGCCACGGCTTCTCCCACTGAAGACAGGTGGACTGTGGCTCCAGCAGCTGCCTGAAAGCATAGGTTTGTTCAGTGCTAGTCAACTTGAATGTCTGCCAGGAGTAAACCCAGAGGAGTGCAAATTAAATTGGACATAGTTATGTGGAGAAAGATGTCTTAACCTCTGCTAGACTGAGAGGGTTTGTGTCTTTTGAGAGTGTTTACATGTACTCACTCAACGTGTATGGCACACCTACTGTGCCTTTAGTGGATGGACAGCGGCCACGTCAAGCTGGGGGGAATGGGGCAGAAAAGGCTTTAGAACAGTCTTCCACAAATAGCAGCCTCTTGAAAGCACAATTAATAGATATTTTATGAATTCTGAAACCATTAGGCCTTCATAAGACAGATCTCTAAGAGAACCTGTCTGAGGCATATATTTTTGATAGGCGGGTGAGTTTCCTATAACAACGTATAGATGCTATACTCCAGCACGGTTGTTTTCAAAGTGTGGTCCCTGGACCAGCCCCATCAGCCTCCCCTGAGAAATTGTTAGAAATAGAAGTCTCGGCCCACCCCACACCTGCTGAAACAGACACTCAGGGGAGTGGGGGGGACACTGCAGTCCACACTCTAGCAGGCCCTCCAGGGGGTTCTGGTGCCCTCCCAAGACTGAGGACTGCTGTTCTAAGGATTATTGCCCTGCAGCCTTTCTTTTTTCTTTATTTCTTTCCTTTCACTTTTAAACTGAAGCCGTTTTAGACATGTTAGTCCTCAGTGGAGAAACTAGAGCTTGGGGAGACCAAGGCCCTCTACAGTGCAAATGCCTATCACGTCTGTGTCATTATAAAAGTGAGATTATTCCTCTCAGAGCTGCTCTTAAGACATATGCAAGCGAGTCCACCTGCCGATGTTGTTGCCCTCCCGTAGAACTTTGTGTCCCAAAGAGAGAGAATGAAATGATGTCCAACTACAGGAGTCAGATGGCAGCAGGGCAAGCTAGCAGGCTGGTGTGTGACACACCCAGGAGTCCACAGGGCAGAGCCTTGCCTCCCACTGGGGCTGGGATGTAAAATCCTGCAGACAGTTGGCCCTTTAGGCCATGAGGGTGAATAGGGGAGTAAGGAGAAGCTGTCTGGTCTTCTAGGAAACCTCTCTAACAGGAGAAATTGCCAGCAGTCACCCCAAAGCTCAAAAGAGAACTGGGGAGACAGAATCCATGGGCTCAGCTGAGGATACTCATGAGGTGGGAAACAGAATCCCAGGACCCTGTGGCGGCGGCAGAGGAGGCGGGGGAGGGGCGCAGTTTACATGTTGGTGGCATGTGGATCCTGGTAAACATCCATTCTTTAGCGAAATATGCGAGGCCTCCAACAGAATTGGCCAGAGAACCCCAACTTTATGTTTTGGTCAAATGGTGATATGCCATGCTGTTTTAATACTTGGCTAAATTCAACCTGCCTAAAATCGAAGGCACCGTTTCTTCTACTCTTAGTAGAGTAGAAGGTGACCAACTCATCTGAGTTTACCCACGACTTTTCTAGTTTTAAAACTGTAAGTCCCCTGTCCTTAGAAGCCCTTTCAGCCCTGGGCTCACCAGGGTGGTTCCTCACCCTAGATTCTCTCCTCCCGTTCCCTGGACTAGTACCTCGCCTGGGTCTTTTAGGGACCCCACCGCTCACAACTGTGAAGGCCTTGGTGTGATATGGGTCTGGTCACCTGGGGCTGGGCCTCCTTCCTCTGCCCTTTCTTGCCTGTCCCTGTTGTCACCTTACTACAAGCAGCTGCCCAGCCCTCGGGCCTGCCTTCCTGTACCACCCACCCATGGAACTGCCAAATGAATTGCAATCTTTTTTTCCAGAAAATGTTTTCTGGTTATAAAAACAGTACTCATTTTTAAACCTAAAGGCTGAAAACAATAAGAAAATGAAAATAACCCAAATTCCACCCTCCCACAGACAACCATCACTAATGAACATTCATGAATGTCTTTGAGACATAATACCTTTCTGTTGTTCTCTCCAAAGTATGATCGTATGGAGAACAATAATTTTTAAAGCTCTTCCATGTATTGAGTGGTCAAAGTATACCAGGCACTCTTCTAAATGCTTTAAGTACGTCACCTCACCAGATTGTCACTCCTTCCCCTTGAGAATCATCATTCCCACTGTGCAGATGAAGAAACAGAGGGTCAGAGAGGTGGCCTGATATTACACAGCTAGTTAGCAGCACAGCCAGGAGTAGAAAGAACCCAGACCCCTGCCTTTTTCCATATACCTGATCTCGGATAAACACACTCATTACATTTGCTATGTAGCCTATTAGACCTTGTTCTATGAGCATATATGGCTTTTAAGGTGGGGGAAAAAATAAACTTTGGAGATAGGATTAGATAGCAGAATGGAGAGTGACTACATTTTCCATGGACCTAGCCTTTCTGCTGCCTCTGCTATCCTATCCATCTCTGCCTTAGCATTCCAGGAAGAAGATGCCACCCAGCTGTAGGTCAGGAAAACCAGTTGGCAGGGCTGTCAC